TATTTCCCCCCCCCACCTCTGTGGCATGAAACACAGCAGTTTGAGCTGTCCCTGTGGACTACATCTCCCCTGCATTGAAGCAGCCATGCGGACACGGCCGTCGTCCCGCAGAAACCCCACGGTCCGGCTGACCCAGTGCCTCATACATTTTTTTGCTGTTACATTTACTGTAAAGCCCAGCACGCAGGCAGATGCTGTATTTTCTCAGCAACGTGTACTTTTGACATGCAGCGGTTAGGCTCCTCATTAATTACCAAATGGAAAAGCCCTTTTTACATCACGTTAGAAAAACCCTCTGCCCCGGCGAGGAGCATCTCCTTTGCGGGCAAGACGACTCGGCTGGAGCAAGGCTGCAGGAGGAGGGATGTAAAAAGCTGTGATGCCATCCGGGCTGAAGCCCGGATGGAGGGACTGGAGGAAGGCAAGCGACCTGCACCGGCACAGCGCTAGATCCGGAGCAACCCTCACATCAGGTATTGGGCTCGTGGGACTTTCAGTGTGCTGGCTAAGCAGAAAACCCCGGGGGGATTTTAAAGGCAGGTATTCTAGTAACAGTGAGCCAGCAGAGCCGAGGAGAAACCCCAGCTCTGCCAAGGTCTCTGGTTTCCTGGCCGAGCCCTTCGTTTTATACCTGGTCATTACACAGATGCAGTGGCAGAGGGCTCGTGGGGCTGCGGGGACACACGGTGCCCCCAGGGAAGCAGAACGGAGATCGGGCTGGCACCCAGAAGAAGGTCAGGATTAGTCACAGCTCCCTTCGCTCTGCTCTGCTCAGGGGCCCTGACTCACCCGAGCGCTTTTGCGCAGGCTGAGTGCCACCGAAACTGATTTTGCAACATCCTTCTGTAACTAGCGGCGGGCTGGGAGGAGAGGACCCAGGAGCCCTGAGGCAGCCGGGGCGTCCTGCTTCCCTGACAAGCTGGCCTGGGGAGGGATTTCGACTCGCCTAGGACACCGTCGTTCCCAGGACACCGTCCACAGCCGGCCAGGGCTCTCCGGGCACCCAGAAAACAGGCATTGCCCCGCTGCCAGTCCCTACCCGCTTGCCTTATATACATTTTATTGCTTGGGTACCGTCTCCCAGCCCACTGGCACCTCTTGATCTGAGACACTCATTATCACAGAGAGTGAGACGATCCACCAAGGACCTTCATCTCAAGTACCCCAATTCACATCTGGTACTAAATTATTTGCTCAGTGCTATTAATGCCCCATTAAAACACACGGTAGAGTGCTTCACTATTGCAGCTACGCTTTGTCCATCACCATCTTCGTTCATTCATCATCTTTTATTCTCTCCTCCCTCAGCCTGACTAGTAGGAGCATATTAGGGATGCACCACGCATCCAGCTTGGAGTTGCGAGCCATTTATCTTCTGTATGAATATTTATACTCGATCTGCCCATCCGCCCAGCACACAGCTCACAATTTCTAAAGGTCTAAACATCTGACAAAAATCCCCAAACAATCCGAACGGAGTATTTCGCGGAGAGGAAAACATACATACCCCAAACACAGCCAAGCGAGATCAGCAGCCAGAGACACACGCTGCAGCCCATGCCTCAGCTCACGGAGCCTCTGCTGCAGTGGAGTTAATATCTGCTGCCGGGCTCATTATAAGAACAGGTGTACTCAAATCAGAGACGCTGCCCTGGGCCATGTGTTTCCTGTTTTTGGCTGAATGACTCTTTGTTTTTTTTTTTCTTGAGTGGAAAGTATTCAAAGCACTGAGTCGTGCTGCTGAATGCTTCACTGGAGACAGCCCGAGAGACCTGCAGAAGGAAGCAGAGCATCGATTTATAATTTGTACCAGAACTGCATCATCCTGCCATGGGTCCCTAACCTGAGCCCAAAAGAAGAGGAAATGATCAGCAAGAAAATCGTTTCACGCATGGTAACAGCTTCCTGGGGCTGTACAGAGTCTCCAAACCCTGCTACCGCAGCGGGGGTGGAGGCAGACAGCCGCTCCCCGCCACGTTGCAGCATGCCAACCACTGCGGCTCGATCCCAGTGCCATGGGGCTGGAACCCGGCACGAAGCTCGCCCAGAGAGCCGGCGTGCACCGGTGCTCGCGGCCACAATGCCCACCAGTGCAGGAAAGCCCCAAATATTCTGGGATTAACCCACACCCCTGCTTTGGGCTGCATGGGATCTACAGCGAGGAGGAGTATGGGTGGTCTTTAAAAACTCACGGAGGAAAAGCCCAGTCGTTGTTCTCAGGCTGAGCACTCGGGGAGGTGATCTGGACTTCAGTTTGCTCCTGTTCAACGCCATCCCCACGGCGAGTGCTCGGGGACGGGGATGGTCCCCCCTCCTGCGGGTGTTCCCCCAGGTGGGGATGGAATGGGGACCGCAGCCTCCCGCGCTCAGCGGAGAGCCGGGGATGGGGAGCGCAGGGAAAACACCACTCGCTCGTTCCACTGCTGGAAAGGCGTGAGAAAAGCTTGGTTGTTTTTGTGTTTTTACTGGAATGAATTATTCACCTCCGTCGGTGCTCGGCCCACACAGCTTTAGAATGGGAGAAGGGTTTTTTTGCCTATTGCTTTCTTCAAGTTTCCATTGCTTTTTCTGGTTTTTGGAGGAGAGCAGAGGCGACAGCGTGAAGCAGGAATTCCTCCGCTGTTTTAAACCAAATTTGAGTGCCACAGGGGTATAAAGGGTGGACTTACATCCCACCGATTTTCAGTGGAGCCAAGCTCCAACGCCTCCATGAGTTTTGTTGCCAATAAATTATTTCTAATGATAAAAAGCCTAAAACCACACTAAACCACCCCGGCATCCTGCTAGGCTGCTCCTTCCTGCTCGGAGAGCATCTGGTTGAGGGGAAAAAAAAAAACAAAAAACACCCAAGCCATTTCCCAATAATCAGCAGTTCACGGAAGGGAAGAGCTCGGCAGAGGCGTAAAAAAGAAAGGATGATTAAGAATAGTATGAGGGCACTCGGCTCCTTTTCTCACTGCACACACGCAAGGAGCTTCGGCTTAACTGAAACGCAGCGGTGGTTCCTACTGGAGGCAGCCGGCTCCTGGACCGAGCACTTGGCCAGATGGCGGAAGGGCGAAGATATCACCTTGGGGTATTTTGCAGAGCAGCAAGCTGCCCCGGCACAAATCGCACCCGAAGAGCCGGTGGTCAGGAAGGAGGTCTCTGGTGGATGGGCTCCACCAGCTCGGTCCTCCAGGCAGGGCAGCAGGACGGTCCCCAACCCTCCCCTCGCCACGGATAGGTGCCCCGCGCTTGGGTGCAGGCTGTGCCGGCATGGAGAAGACCATTGACCACAAACTGGTCCAGGAAAGCCATAAAACGCCAATATCACCCATGGGGCAACTACCACAGCAGCGTGCCCCAGGCTGGGCTGGCACTGCTCGGGAGAAATGGGAAAAATTGTTTAACAAGCAAAACCATCAAGAAAAATTCCTTCCAGGAAGCACCTGGGGGCGCAAAAAACATACAGGCAGTCACAGAAAAACCTCCTTTAACGGAAAATAATGATCCAAAATGCCTTTACTTTCCCCATCAGCACAGGCTGACGTCTTCTGGCTGGAAAGACGACCGAGGCACGGCACCGGCCTCCGTATTTATTCATCGCAGGAGGTTTTATGATGTTGGTGCTCAGCAGTTATCCTGGATTTTGTCAGAGGCAAAAGAGCCCCAAACCCCCATGTGGGAACGGACCAAGACCCAACCAAATATTTTCAAGAGGGGGGATTTCTGCAAAAATAAACATTGGTGCT